TAAATATATATATATGTATATATATATATATATATATATATATAATATAAGAATTTATAAAGCGTCAATTAAACGACCGAGGTGCATATCAAAAGCGCTTTCCACGTTAATGATGGAAAAGGTGAGTTTTGAGTATTTTTTGGTGGGGGTGGGGAAGAGAATAATTGTACAGAAAGATTCGTAGATTGTATCCATTTGTTCACTTTTGGAGATAAAAATAAATGAGGAGATTATTGAGAGATCACCGAATTCCTAAAAGCTGATTAGTTTATTGCATAAATATGTATGGGCTTAATTTTAATACTTTCATCTGAAATGAAGCCTCTGGCCCCTGAATTCAAAAAGATTTGAATCGAAAGCGATAACGAATAGTAATACGGATACGTCATCAAATTTGTATACAAGCTTTCCCCTCAGTAGAATATCTGTCGTAGGGAATTCATGCCTTTTGCATGAATCATGGATCATATTCAGCTCGTACAGCTAACTGTCAAGAATGTTTAGGCACGAATGACGATAATGATAATAATAATAATAATATTTCGTTCTTATATAGCGCTTAATGCCTTAACAAAGCCTCTAAGCGCTTCACATTATTATCCCGGTCATTGGATCAAACACATATGGAACACATTGAACACTAAATGAAATTATTAAATTAAATTATATCTTCATAATATTGCGGCTAGTAAACAGCGCAGTGTTGGAACCTACCAGGTACCCATTTGTACTCCTGGGTGGAGAGAGGCAACCGTAGATAAAGTGCCTTGCCCAAGGACACAAGCGATTTGCACAGCGAGAGTTTCGTACCCCCGGTTTGGGAGTCCAAGCCACAACCGATGCGCCAACCACTTCTACATAATAATAACGTATTCGTATTCGTATCGTTTTCGTAAGGTTGCGAAATATCTATAATCTTCCTATTGCTACGCGTGTATGTGCGTGTACGTTTAAGGCCATGCAATGCTCCATTATTCACAAGATGGAGGTCTCACGGTAACACATTAATTTATGAGGATATAAGCTACTCACTCTGGTACTGTGTTTCGGGATCCATATTTGGTGGCGAGGAACCACCGCTCATCTGATCGAGGTCACTCATGTAACTGGCGCTAATGACGTCATTCACATCGTCAATATTCAGACCGACGGCGGAGTTAGGAGGAGTGAAACCTATGAAAAAAAATAGAAAAATAAATACGTATACATATTACATATGCAAACATCCAATCAATCAATCGCAGTCAATTGCAATAAATCAATCAATCAATCAATCAATCAATCAAACAATCATTCTATGAAAATGTCATAAATTCTATCAATAAAAATCAAATAAATTTTATACACGAAATCAATGAAATCACAAGTGTAGGCCCTACCTCTGCTCACAACACAATGTGATATGAGATGGGTGCGAACTGTGTATTGAGAGACCTTATTCAACGATTTATGCAATAGCAGGTCAACGGTGGGTTGTAATTTTTGTAAATGTGTGCGTTCAAGGTAGTGGGAACTGGGCGCTTCCCGTTCGTACTGTGGGAACCCTCTCATTCACAATAATTCACAGCTGATTATGGAAGGACGTGATGTACCAAGGACATGCACGTATAAATTTTATATTGAATTTGAAAAAAAAAATACTCCAAAGGGCAATTGGTGATTCGATGTCTTGAAATTGTTTACGGGACGCGTGAGAGAGATCGAACACTCAACAAAAAAATCTTACTCACCACTGGGAATTTGCTGACCAAAAAATTACTCTCAAATACTTGAAAAAAAAAACTTAAAACATTGATTCCCCACACTTAAACTCTACTTTCGCCTCTCCCCTACCATCCCCATGACAATCTCTGATACACGACTGGTTGAATAAGTATGCATGTAATCAATTGCCTGTGCGTGTATGCAGTTGTAGCGCCAGCGGAGGGACTCTCTCGGCCTACTGTTGGACAAAATGTCGTCGGTCTAAAAGCACAAATTTTACCATCCTAAACCATAAAATATATTTCACTGGACTCAGGGTTTCACTCTTGGACCCTGAAGGAAGTTCAAAGCTGTCCATATTCAGGACAGTTTGTTGGATCAACTTTTCCTAAAGTTCTGGAGCCCTCACTGTGCGGACGTACGGTAATGCAATTGTAATAGATGAAACAAAAGAATATCGATCAATTATCGACTGCATAATCCAATTTTCATAAAATTGATACGTTAATGAGTAAATATGATAATTACGAATTCACAGTAGGCCCATTGTCATTGTCATATACCAGTATATTTTGTTATTGGTGCCTGATTGCGCACGCTCACTTACTTGGGCTAATTGGTGTCTGGAATCCATAGTACGTTTCGTTCGGTGAGTTACCAGATGGTGGTGTCAACTAAAAAAAAAAGAGAAATAAATAAACACGTTAATAAATAAAATAAACACAATAATATTAATTAAATTATTCTAAGCTGCTGCATTATAATATAAATAATAGGCCTAGCCTAAAATATAATAATAAGTGTAAGCATAATAATACCAAATGAATAATAACATCATTAGGACAACGATGATGATGATGATAATAATATTATCAATAATATAATATAATATAATAGAGTATAATATAATAATAAGAGTAAGCATAATACCCAATGAATAATGATAACATCATTAGGACAACGATGATGATGATGATGATGATGATGATGATGATGATGATGATGATGATGATGATATGATAGTAATAATAATAATAATAATAATAATAATAATAATAATAATAATAATAATAATAATATTCACAATGACAATAATGATAATAATTTTATTAATTATATAACATAATAATTTACCTGATCGTAAGGTATCATGGTTGTGGGGTAACCCTGATTTATATTGCCACCGGTATTGTAAGTCATTCGCGTTCTATCTTGCTGCTGTTGTAAGAAAGCATTGATTGAAATAATTAGGCCGATTATTATCATCGAAAATCTAAATATTATGTTCGTGTATAATACAGAAATATATAATATATATAAATATAAATATATATATATATATATATGTGTGTGTGTGTGTGGTGTTACATGAGGCTTTAAAAAGGACGAGGGAGGAGAGGTAGTCAAATGTTGTTTTTGTCATTTACTTTTAATGTAAAAAACTAGTTACATACGTTTGTTGTGTCGATCCTATTGTGGTATGGATGATATGCTCTGTGACCATTGGACCTTTGTTGAGATAACGGTGGAGCTGGAAAAAAGAAGGAAAAAAAATCCAGTTCAATAAGCGTTAAGCATAATATGCCAATTAAATTAAAATTTGCAAGTATAAAGCCCTTTCCAAACTATCACATTTTATTTGACAAAAACATGTGATATATATGGTCATGATGGCATGCACATCATGACCATATATAGGCACATCATGACCATATATAGGCACATCATGACTATATATAGGCACATCATGACCATATATAGGCATATCATGTCCATATATAGGCATATCATGACCATATATAGGCACATCATGACTATATATAGGCACATCATGACTATATATAGGCACATCATGACCATATATAGGCATATCATGTCCATATATAGGCATATCATGACCATATATAGGCACATCATGACCATATATAGGCATATCATGTCTATAAAATATGAAAGAAAATTTGATATTGTGGACAGACCTACGTCTATGTCACTTACCGGTATTCCTACCTTTCCATATTTTGTTGCCCGACTTTTTTTTTTTTTTTTTTTTTTTTTGCCGAAATTCTGAGGTATAATACCAATACCAAAGTGACTAAAATAGATACATCGTCAAACATCAGCACTTTGAAAGGTGACTAACTGCAGGGCGTGATTTCAGATGACCCACAATTCGTTAGCAGTCTGTATATTTATTATGGTATGATATGCGCACGGTAGCAGCCGTCAAGGAATGCAGACGCGTGTGTGGTTAAGACACACGCTGCGCTCACAGTGCCCCGCCCGTCTGGTACGCTTTAGTCAGACCTAGGCGAATTGGTTTGGTAATTAAATGTTTTTAGCTAAGTTTTAATGTAAATAAACAAAGTGGATGGAAAAGTACTAGTTGATCTTGGGAATCAAAAATACGCGCGTTTATTATTTGGCTTTATGAGAAAACAAAATAAACGTTAATTTTTTGGTCAATTTTTGTTGTGCCATATTTTTAATTTTGTTTAACTTTATCTAGTAAATTAATAACTAGCTAACATATTTCTTTTTTTTTATAATGCCCTTATCACGTATTTTTAACATGAGACTGAAGAATATACTCCAATTTTAAGACGATTATAATAACCACGTGAAGCATAATGATACAGTACTTAACGTTTTCTTTTGTTTTTACGCACTCCGCAACGTGGACCTAAAGTTAGGCCTGCGATACGATTTCATTTCTTAAAAACAACATACAGCGGCATGTCAATGTGATATTTGTTGTGCACCGCGTAAAAAAGAATTAGCAAGCGAAAACCACTACCTCACGCAATGTGTTCGGTAAACTTTCCTATATGTTCCCTGAAAGGTAATGGCCTGACCATGCATTAGTACGGTACCAAAGCAAGAGAAAACACGAAATCATGTGCTGCCTACGTAAAATCATAATAAAATCGATATAAATTCCAAAGCAGACTTAAGGTTGAAAAGCTTGGCAGGGCGTAAATTGTCGCCTAGGGTTGCAAACACAACTACGACCCTCCTGTGTATATCATTTTCATCTTAATTCGGTTTGTTTGTTCACAATATTGTGGTCGGCTATATCGTCTGAATTTCGTAAACATGAGTCAGAAAAACTGTCTCTGTTGAATTAATAACTCAATGGCTATTACACCAATAACTCAAACATTCAAAGCCACTTTGTTTCAAGTATCTTTTCTTCATCTTTTTTTTTTTCAATCCTGAGATCACGTACTTATTGTTTCTTATCGTTTACATTATGCATAGCCCATATAAGTATAACAGCCCTACAAATTATATTATATAAAAATGCTAATATTATATACAACACGAAAGCGAGTAAAAATGCTCTCATGTCGTAGCAGTGCTCGTGGGAACGTAATAAAAATGGTGTAGGGTTAGATAGGTATTCTGGTAGGTCTATTTTCAATTGATACCAGTATCCTGTAGTAAAATTCTTTCCGACATGGATTCAGTAGTATAATATGTGTGTATCATATATATTATATAATACACACATACATATGCAATATAATATTATGTTTAGGTGCTGTTGACAGTCGTACCACAACCCTAGCTCTGCTGTTTTGTTTCTGTGTTATCACTATTGTTGTTTACAGTCGTGTCTTAAACCTAGCCCTATTTTTACCGCATTCAGCTCCTGTGTATTCACAATGAAACACGGTATACAACATGACGTATGACTTGGTAGATTATTAACCGTTTCACCTTAACGTGTCATATTCTCTCATAAATCGTATGAACCGTCAGATCAGATGTTCAGGTTCTCCTTTAAAGTGCTGCTTTTGTGGTGTGTTGTTATAAGTAGTATTTATCCCACATTCATCCATTGAAAATCTCAACATCCTGTGGTACACATTTTTGATTGGTTGTAAGGCAGCGCGTAACATTATGTATATCGGTACGCGCTCGTTTCCTGCTCGATAACAGGACATTTACCAACGCTGGCTCGCGATGCAATTTATGTACTTAGAAGCGTGGAAGCCTATTTTACAAAATATGAGTTTTTTAAACTTACATTTTTTCTGTCTGGGTAGGAGTCGGTAGACGCGGTACGGTTCCGGGATGTCAAGTTGGGTTTTATCTTGAACCTCCTCGATGTCCGGGAGCTTGTTCAAAGCTGTCCTAAGTCTTGTTTTCCAGACAGCCGGTTCTGGTGTCATGCTGGGTTTGTACTTGCCCGTATGAAGGGACCATTCCTGGAAAACAGTTAAATTGATATGTAACAATCATAGTTTATATTTTCGGTAGTTTTCTTAAATTTTAACACTGTTCAACAACCAAATATTGAAAAAATATATAATTAATGTAAGCTAACAATGAACAAAATTCATAACTATAACAATATTTATTTATATTGTCGTAATTATTTCTTCCAATGTTTAAAGGAGTAGATCTAAAGACTAAATATATGCCCACAAGTACCATATACAACCGCATTATATATAGGCCTACATAGCCACATTATGTTCAATAAATGTTTAATAAATTACATGAAAAAGAAGAACACTATACTGCTGTAAAAAAATATGATTATTAAAATGATTTAATGTTCCGGGAATGAGCACATTGATGAATGATCGTTTACCCGGATAAGTACCTCTTCACAAGGCTGTAGCTTTTAGAGAGTAACTAACCGAACTTATTATATTTCTATGAAAATATCTTCAGTTTGTGAATATCGGTTGATGTAACTAATTTGTCAATATTCTAAATGATTGAGTAGGCCTACGGTGATAACTGTAATTTTCACAGGGCTTTACTAAACGTTTAACCTTTACTAAGTGCAGGTAATTCTAGAAGTTTTCACCTTTTATACGTAAGAAGATATATACACGCTGTTACTCATGCTACGGGAATGTCACGCTATATAACGTATCCACGGACTATATTTCAGTAGATTATTTCCAATCACAACTTTATGAACTTTCCGGAGGGGAAAAAATCATTTAGCTATTAAATGACAGCGAAAAACAAACGATACTCCTTCTCTTGTTGTATGTAGCTGTCCTCTGGGGTCAGTGAGGATGGAGTGTTAATGAAATCACTAAGAGTAATCAATGCCGCCGAGACGACCACTCAACAATTCCGCCGTTGTTACCACGATAATTCTTTTATTCCAGAGATGGAGGAAATTAAATCAAAATCGTTGGCCTCTTCACCCGAATATTTGCATGCTTGATGCAAGAGAACAAGCATTTTTACATCATTTTTGGATAGCAAAAACATGTATTTTTTTACATGAATGTCTATGATAAACAACCGTTATACTGATGTATAGCGAGTGTCGGAAATTCTGACACCTATAGACACATTGGAATGAGTACATGTTCGAATTTAGAAAGATTTAAGATAATGTGATAAATAATATAGCATTTTTTTGGCAGATTGATTGTACCACTGTTTCACGGGTGGTTGCCGTGTTCTCAGTACGATTCGACATTACTTTAAATAAGAATTACTGTTCAAGCTCGATTATCTCAGTTCGGTTGAAGGAAGTATAAAAAACATCGTTTTTCTTTGTTCATCAAATTTATCTACTGTATTAAAATTCTGTGTGATTTATAGCAAAATGCACACTTTATTAAGTGTATTTCCACTCTATGAAGATGCTTGTGCGCTACTTAAGTGTTTTTAAAGATTGTTTTAACGAGGCGTGGACATTAAGTGTGTAATTTATAAGTGGCCCTGTAAATTCAAGTTAAACGTTACATTTCCTGCGCAGAGTCCTGCTTCAACCAACGCCTTGTATGATACTAATTTTAAATCGTTGACACCATTAACCCATCGAAGAAAAATAAAATAATATATACGTCAACAATCCAACACGCGTCAAAAATAAGTGTGCTATTGCTACCCAATGCATTATGATTTTTGGTGCGATTTTGTTACGCGGGCTGTCTTACTGACATTTCAGTATCTACCGAAGGTGTAATAACCTTGTTCTTAATGTAATATTAATCTCTTTGTATTGAGATATTGTTTGATTTTGACGTGTCACAAAGACTAAAGTGAAAGCAGAGTTGGGCCTATCAAAAGATAATAAACTAAATGAATTGTGTTTGATAAAAGAACGAGCTAAGTTCCTGCTGTATGGCAGGTCGTTTTTAAAATTGCCTTTTATCAATATTTATATAAACAACTTAAAAAAGAAATTTATTTATAGAAAACTGATTGAGGCATGGGTATAAAAACATGTAAATGATTTCATCATTATACGAATTAAAAATAATAATTGCATACTGGTGGTTGATTGATATGACGCTTTACACATTCTAAATTAAACGGCTTTTGAATGATTTTGCACATAACACCAACAAAGGTAGGTCTGTCGGTATAAAGTAGACATGGGAGAATATTGTTACCAAGCTACGTGCATTATTATCAGATTTCATGTTGGTCTTCGAAGCACTTGCACATTTGAAATAATTGGAATTCAAAGTGGTTTACATTATCGTCTACGTAAATGTTGCTTAGTAAATACTAAAGCCTCATTTCTGTTGCTCTTGCAAAAAAATGTTTTGACTGTGACTTAAGGATTATAAAAGGCTGCGCAGAAACAAGATGACGAAATTATTGATAAGGCGCATATAGGGCCTAGGCATATTGGCTGATACATTTTACGCATGTTATAAATTATAAGATTATGTAAAGTAGCAAAAACAGGATCAATCAATCAGTTAATCAATCGATTATTCAATCAATCAAACGAATCAATCAAATGAAACTTATTGAATACCTTGAAGATCCTGGAATCCTCCTCGGGGTCGTAATCTTGTTTTCCTGCATGCTTCCATGGAATCTTAAACATCAATTTTGCTTCGTCCATCCATTCTAGGCCCTTGATTGAACCGCTGTTGATCTTGTTAACTAGCCACGGTCGCAGTCGCTGTCGGCCGTTTGTGTTTCCATAGATTTCGGAAGGTGTTTTCGACATAGTCTAAGAACCAAAGCTGTAATAAATCAACGATTATAAAAAGATATTTATTCAACAGGATGTTAATATATTGTATATTTATTCGTTTTTTTTAATGGAACTGTTTTTAGTTTCGTTATTTTTGAAGTCGTTCATGCAGTTCCAAGCGACAAACTGACTAATCGATTTGTACTTCTGAACCTATCCCATGAAGTTCTAGGTTAGTGTTTAAATAATTGGCTTTTGTATTTCCTAGTGGCAAACCTTGATTGCGGTAAACACGGAAGCTACTTACCTACTTCTATGAACAAGTAAAATCTGAATGATCCTACATTTAAATATGTGAGATAATAGATAGATCGGAACTTGAATATTAAGGAAAAATAAATTTTCATCATTTCCCAGTGTCTATTTCTAACATTATTTTACATAGGCCTAAATTAGTTTGACTACTAAGAAATTTATTTGAAAAGTGTTACATACTATTTTTAGGCCTAATGTGCGTATTGAAGCTGTTTTTTCAAACGTTTGCGTACGTGCCCATGTTTACTTTTTATATTGCGAAAATATGTTGTGTTCTAAATAGTGACAATATCACATTAGTTCCTGGTCAGTTTCCTTGTGCGATATCTCATTTAATTTAACTAAAGTTATGTGTGCGGTCACATGTGAAACGTAACATTAATTACAGTTTTAGAAAGTGAACTCACGTCTGCTTAAATATGCGAGGTTGTTAGATATCTTAAGTTTAACGAACTCTTGATATGTAGCACTACTGATGTAAGTATGTAATCGGTTACACCTAGTGTATAAAATACACAATTCCTTATCTATTTTACTATCAAGGCTTTCGGTCAAACAAATCAAATGCAGAGAAGGATCTAGAAAGTTGAGGTGGGGGTTGGCGTAATGCACCAACCGAGCCTGGTCTATGTTTTGAGTAGGGAGAGCTGGGTGTTGCTCCATTCCCTATTATCTGGGGTCCAAAAGCCACTGGAAGCTCTGATTTTTAGCCATATCTGTGTCTTATCTAAACAATGTCACATTAGGAAAGAGATTCTGCAGCAGGGGAGTGGGTGAGCGCTCCGCTGAAATAATATGCAAGAAAATCAATTTTGCGTTGGAAATTTTTGAGAGGAAACTCACAGTTAATTAAATTTATTTTATTAGAAAATGTTGGATCTAAATAATATTAAATAAATAAATTTCAATATTTGAATTTATCTGTATATTTAATTAATTAATTAAATTATATTTATGATTTCATTGAAGATGAGATATATTTACTCGGGTTAGATGTGTATAAGAGACAGATATATATATCTTCGCCAAAAGATGATAATACAACAACACCAAAACAAACACTACAAAAACTGTTCAGCAGATTTCCTAAGTCCAATATTTCGCTTTATACAAAAAATGTATAGAAAAGTAACTTGAAATCATATTAAATAAATTAAAAAAAACTTAACTAACTTAAAACTAACATAAAGTATTAAATGTAACTACAATAACAAAGATAGGTATTTCACCGTTCTCCTGTATATTAAGCAAAAAAAAATCCCAAAAAACAATAGACAATGAAGTATTTATAAAAATAAAAATATTTTAAAACCATAAGACTACCCTTGTAAGGGTACCGTCGCATGGTTCTGTACACAGTTTTAAAAATCAAGAGATTGTAAAAAACTATGTACAGTTTTAAAAATCAAGAGATTGAAAACTAGTAAATGTAAATACAACTGAACGTGCCAGCTTACGATTAATCAGGTGCAATAGTGTCGTAGCGATTGGGGGAAGACTTCTTGGTACAACAGACCTTCTGATGAGAGTACAGTGTGAACGCACCTCTGTCAGTTGTTTAATAAGTGATCTGATTAAGATCCACCTAGCTTATAAACGCCAGCCCAAACTTCGAACAAGTCACTCAAAATTAAAACTCTTAATAGATTCTACCATTTTTTATGCAGGTAGTTCAGTGAAGAGAAGGAAAAAAAAACATTGCACGGTCCGCATATCTTAAGCTATATTTAACCATAACAAAATATTTTTTATACTGAAAACATCATCAAAACCATTTTTACGATGTTTATTTATATTTTTAACGACATTATTGATAAATTTTCTGTTTTTACTCCCCTAAACAAACATAGACCAATACCGGATATTAATGTATATACAGAGTATTGCCTATTCTTTACAATAGGCCTACTTCTCAAGCTATACTTCGTCCAATGCGTGATGATTGGATATCACTACACGTCTGCGATCAGTTTTTTTAGCCAATAGGAATTCACATTCGGTTTTTGGCTTTAGTGACGGGGAACCCCATGACTCATGGTTAAATTTAGGTGAAACAGTCTACACCTCAATATGTAAAATGACACAACAGGTATAGGCCTACTACTACTGCTGTATAGTACAGTTGTCGGTCTGGGATCCCTGGAATTTTAACAGGAAAACGCCCATGATTCGATAGTTACTTTAGTATGGACAACTGGATCTGAATAATTTACCTTGAATAATAATTAGTAAAAAAATATACTATATCAGACGGTTAAAATAATCTCATATTCGCATATCATACTATATTTCTTTATATATTTATAAGTCTGACAAATATTTCCAAACAAGATAACATTTCCATATCAAATGTTACACCATACAAAGGGCTATCAATTGCCTATTATTAACATTATCTTGTTGAAAAAATACTAGTTTTACCGCTTTCTTAAGAACTGTTTTGCAAATAAATATTGGAATCCTCTCCATATCATACCCGGTACTTTAAAAAGTGGCATCATTCCAACTTGCAGATAAAAAAACGTGAAACAAATTAGGTGACAATTCACAACCAAGATGTCCTGCACTAAAATGGTTTTCCTTATCTTCTTGTGTAAGTATGTTTTATTTATTTATATTTACTCGCGTTTATGTTGTGTTTACTGTAATAACCGTTGTACAAGACACCATTGGAAATAATAAATTCATGGTCTATCAGGCCTTCGTCTTTCTGTCATTTTTTTTATATGTTCCCCCATTTAAAAAATTATTGTATTGTTAGCTTAGAGACTTACTCATCATCATCATCATCATCGCCGTCGTTGTCATTGACTGATTGATATATTGATCGATCGGACTGTTTTCAAGTCGTTTTTAATTGTTCTTCTATTTAGAATTGTTTTTCGCCAAATAAAAGAATTCAATTAATTAAATTATAGCAGCCAACAAGATCGTCGTGGGAAAACCTATAGGTGTGTTACAATTGGCATTAGCTTATAACATTATTCAAAGTGGCCTACGTATTAATAATTGTGGGAGGTTATTGTGTCGAGGGCACATCTGTATAATGCTTTATTGACACATACGAGTGGGTGAAAGTAGATTTACTTGTTATTAGGAATCAAGGAGAGGTTTATTTTCATCCCATTAAATTATTATTTTAGGCATTCTGTAATGTATCAACTTCCTCTTTAAGGGCCCATAACGGGAAGCAGACGAGAAACAGGAGTGTGGATTGGAGAAAGGAGTCGTGTACAGATGCCATACAGCCAACGCCTTATATATCTCTTCACTGGAGAATCAATCCTCTTGCCGAGAATTAGAGCAACTGAAGTTTAGGGGCTAAGAAAAGAATAAAGACTACACTGTACTGTATCTGGGAGACTTGAAATGGGGAAGCTGATGGGGAAGCGCAAAGGTCATTATGGGGGCTTGATGATTAGGTTAGGGGCTCTAACTCGCAAAATAAGGTAATTTTAGGTGATTTTAAACTACTTGAGCGTGATTTTGGGGTGGACGACAGGGGCACGAGTAATTTTTAGGGGAAGTGCGCCCCCCCCCCCACTAGATACGCCACTGAGACTACAGGACCTTCCCCAAGTAGTGGTAATTAATTAAACACGTATAAGACTGTCTCTTATACACATCTATATATATATTTAAATTTAAGACTATCATCACTTGCAAAAAATTTACCTGTACTAAATATTTCTCACGATTAAAACAGCTCCACCCCATCCTGTAATTAGCAGTTTATCTACCGGTACTTGTTCTAGGGTGTGAAACATTTAAATAAAAAAAAAATAATAGAAAAATAACTACGTGTTCATCACTATACTTATTTCTATGCAGTGGAAGACCCCAGGAATTTTGTATTCATCGATTTGACTACCAACGACACAACGTTGCAAATTTCCCACTAAAATACATTCTGAGCCTCGCACACCCAATACCCAAGTGCAAGATTATTGTTATATAGGACAAGAACGTTCGTGTGTAATTCTAACAATTAAAAATTTATTGATTTTCCCCATATTGCAGTATTTTGTACGTAGACTATCGATAAATGAATCGATTGGATCGATCGAGTTATATCATGACGAATAGCTTACAAACATAAACAAGTCGTGTTTCTGCAAAGCATAGTCCTGTCCATGCATTTTTCCTATTCTCTATTTCGAATTCCTGGATCCGCCACTGATCATTTAAAGCAAAATTGGCAATATTGATACATTATTTTCATTGAATCGCCATCTTTATGTTATACTGTAGGCCTTGGCAATAAAACAAACGTGACTTACGGTATGTTGATTCTACGTATAGTACCGGTGTCACGGAAAACCGGTACAGTACTAGTAAATTACAACCGCTTACAACCGCCGTAGAGTGCGGTTGTCAAAAAATACTGATGTTATCATCAGACTACAATTATACACGTAGCCGGATACCTGTATAGCCTTTACACTAAAAGAGGTAATGTAACACAAAAACTTACCTCACAGAACTGTGTGACAACGTCCACTAAGGTACACACGAACCGTAGGGTACGGGGCTACAGTTTGCTAATATAGATCAGCGTTTGGCTAGATGGTTGTTGTTTTATAAATAATGCAAATTATGAATGGAAATTTATGGTTATTTACCTACCGTAAATAGAATTGGTCTGTATAAAGGGAATTCCCGGAGAGGCTCGGCTCGTCTAGCGAGAAAAGTCACTCGGATGCTTTCGCCATGTCTTAGCTGGAATTTCCAGGCCATTACGTATAAGAGTATTTGTAGAACTGGGTAACTAGAGGGTACGGGCATGACTATGATGTAATATGACATTGCACATTGCAGTGTCCTGAAGTGACAGTAAACATTCAGAGAATATATACAAACACTAAAATAGTATAACGAAAATAATTGGCCTCGTGATAAAGTGCACAGACAAGTTCTTAAGGCATAGGCCTATTTATAGAAGTAATTGTCGCCTCAATGTAGACCAATATGCCTATCTAAATGACATGTTTTTACTTTTGTAAATTTGGTATTGTATTACTGCAGAATAGGCCTATCAATTAGCTACTATTTCCCCACAGGTCACAAGTAGACAAAGGTCTATGGTTAAATAGGACTCATTAGGCTTGGAGGAGTGGATGTTTTAGACGCAAGCAAAAAACAGGACTCCAGAAAAAAAAATTGCACAAAGAGATCCTGTTGCATATAAGGTACCAAAAGATTAATACCTTAAAGTAGGGTTCAGGAGGAAAACATTGTGATATGTTGTACAACTGATTTTTCCAAGACACAAAAAGGGTATTTGATTAAAAACTCGAAAGCCATTAATCAGATATAGGTACCTGGTAGGTTCAAAGACAACCATGCGCTGATTATTACGGCTGCAACATTATGGGGCATAAGTGACATGTGCTTGATCCAGTGACCGGTCTGCAATGCGCTATATAAGTCGACAATGATTATTATAATTATAATTATAATTATAATTATAATTATAATAATAATAATAATAATAATAATAATAATTATTATTATTATTATTATTATTATTATTATTATTATTATTATTATTATTAAAAAGGGTGGAGAGAGACAACGTTATCTACGGTTGTCTCTCTACGCCCCTTTTCCTCCCAGATATCCTTCCTGAGTTTAATAATGATTAATTAATTAATTAATATTCTAATATTATTAAAGTAGATATCAGAAACATTTTCTTTATACAAAAATAAAATATCACGCTGTGAATTCAAGGTATCAAAGCAACCACAAGTTTTGTGTTCGGTAGAGTTACTGCAGTTCAATGTAATAGAGTTTCAGTGTAATAAACCCTACCGTATTGTATAAATGCAATGTAGGAATATTTTAGTTGTTACATAGAACAGAAATTATCAGGAATTGAAATGTTTAAAAGAAATACACCTTTAGTAAATTATTTTTTTAGAAAGACGGATTTCCTTAATTATTGCTTATTTGCGTATATTATGTATCTTCGTTTAAGTTCATTTCATTGCCTGATTATGCAACTATGTAGTGTTCGCATAGAATATGTGTAAGTAAATTATAAGTTCAGTTTACAAAGTGTGCAAATATTAATTAGTCGTATGAATTTACATGTAATAAAACATTCTAGGAAATTAATTGGTTATCTTTGTATACGGTACCTAAAGCCTTGTCTTCATAAAATCACTACACGCTATCGCAGATTTCGACGACACCGATTGGTTGGTCGAATCGGTGAGCCTTCCGATTGCGATTTCAGGCACTGCAATGATTGCAGTGAAAACATTATAGCTATTTTATGGAAACTAAACTTCACTGGCGCCATAATATGAATTAATATTCAACGTGGAATCAATATCATTAAGAATACAGCGTGTATAGGAATATTAAAATAATCTTATAGAACTTTAGTAACAGCTGGGTTACTATTTTGATCTTTTTTAAATGGTTAAGAGAAATAATGTGCAACGCACGTGAAAGAACAATATTTAGTCAAATTCGTAATATTTAAAGTAACAACAATAGCCACCAAGACAAAGGGTAGAAAATCACTGATTGTAATAACATTACCGTATTGTATTAGTACTATTATTAGTATATCGTATTATATATATATATATATATATATAAATTCAGTTAAAACGACATAAACATAAATATATATATATATATATATATATA